TGTACTCGCCTTTCCCTTCTCGAGCTGCTTAATTTTGTTGTTTAAGTTGGTGATCTGAGTGGATAAGTCAGTGAGAGACGAGTCTAAACGAGTGTTCATCTCGGCAAACTTCTGGTTTGTAGAGGCTTGACCTTGGATCAGCTGTTGAAACATGGCCTGAACTGGGTCAACTTGTTGTTGCATCTGTTGCTGTTGCTGATGTGCAAATCCCGAAGGGTAGTTTGGCGTATAAACCTGTTACCTTGATGTTGCCCTTGGAAGTTGTTTTGCCCTTGACCTTGGAAGCCACCACTCGGCTGAAAACCTTTGTTGTAAGGTATGAAAGGCTTTGCTTGCTGAGCAGGGTACACTTGATCCTTAGAGTTTGCTACATTGGTGCTGCGGTATGAGAGATTGTTGTTATGGTTGTAACCTTGTGAATAGCCTTGAGGTTTGTAGTTGTTTTGACCCGCCACCCAATTGGCTTCTTCTTGGCTCAACTCAAGCTCCTCTTGGCTCTCATCCGTTTCACTAACAGAGTGAACATGCTTCTTATTTGCCAAAACCAACTTGTCAATCTTCTCGTGTAATGATTTCAACTCTTTGTTGTGAGACTCTAGCTCAGAACCTCGTGGTACACGGTTATAATCTTCAGCATAGTTGTCGTCACTTAGTGTTAAATTCTCAATCAGCTCCATGCGTTCTTCTACCTCTTGACCAAGGAAGTTCCCCTTACTGGCCGTGTCAAGCAACAACCTTATCTTTGGTGAAGCTCCGCGGTAGATAGTGCTTAGAAGAGTCTCTTCGCTGAAGCCGTGGTGAGGACATTGGATAGTAGAGTCCTTGAATCGTTCCATGGCTTCATTGAAAGTCTCATTATTCCTTTGCGTGAAGCCGCTGATCTCGCTTCATAGCCTTGCCGTTCTGGTGCTAGAGAAGAATTTTGAGAGGAAAGCCTTCTTACTGTCGACCCATGAAGTGATGGTGCCTTGAGAGGAAAGCCTTCTTTCTCGGTGGTTGCATACTTCACTTGCGTGTCATCCAAGGTACGACTTGCATAGTAGATCACGTGCAGCCTCTTATCCTTCCTCTGACCCACAACAGCACCCACGACGTAGTCACGCGCGTCGCACATTATCTCAAACGGCAGGTCCCAATCAGGAGCTTGAATTATAGGCGCGGTGACTAGAGCTTCTTTGGTGGTCTTAAAGGCTTGAAGACACTCATCATCAAGCACGAACTTGGCTTCTTTGCAAAGTAGCCTTGTAAGGGGGCGTGTTATCTTGGAGAAATCCTTGATAAACCTCCTGTAGAAGCCTGTGTGACCCAAGAAACTCCTTGTCCCCTTCACATTAACCGGCGGCTCTAAGCTCATCATGATCTCTATGTTTGCTTTATCAGCCTCAATCCCTTGCTCAGAAATCTTGTGCCCAAGTACAATGCCTTCCTTCACCATGAAGTGACACTTTTTCCAATTCAGCACCAAGTTTGTCTCCTCGCATCTCTTGAGAACCCTGCAGAGATTTGACAAACAACCACCAAAGGAAGCACCATTCACAGAAAAATCATCCATGAAAACTTCCACCATTTCCTCTATGAGATCAGAGAAGATAGACATCATGCACCTTTGAAAGGTTGCTGCTGCATTACATAACCCAAAAGGCATCCTTCGATATGCGAAGGTACCATAAGGGCATGTGAAAGTTGTCTTCTCTTGGTCATTGGGATGAATGGGAATTTGAAAGAAACCACTATAGCCATCAAGAAAACAGTAATATGGGTGATTAGCTAATCTCTCAAGCATTTGATCAATAAAGAGAAGAGAAAAATGATATTTTCTAGTGGCTGAGTTAAGTTTCCTATAATCAATACACATTCTATGTCCGGTTATGGTTCTTGTAGGAATTAACTCATCTTTTTCATTTTTAATGACCGTGATACCCCCTTTCTTTGGTACCACATGGACCGGAGAGACCCATGCGCTATCACTGATAGGGTATACAATGTCAGCCTCTAAAAGTTTTATGATCTCTTTCTTCACTACTTCTTTCAAATTCGGGTTTAAGCGCCTTTGATGTTCAATGGAAGAAGTGTTTTCATTCTCTAACTGAATCCTGTGAGTACAAAGTATTGGTGAAAGGCCCTTGATGTCACTTAGAGAGTACCCAATGGCCCTTCTATACTTCCTCAACTCCTTAAGGAGTGAGTTTTAACTCATCATCACTCAGATTTTCATTCACAATGACAGGATAAGTGTCATTTGGTCCCAAGAATGCGTACCTTAGCCCATTTGAGAGCTCCTTTAGGTCCACCTTTGGGGCTAGTAACTCGCTCCAGTCCTCCTCATGGCTTGTGTTGAGGTTTCCGTCCTCATTCGCCTCTTTTGAACCCGAGTCATGAGCTTTCAGGCTGCCATCTTGAACCGCTCCCACTGCTGAGATCGAGTCAACCAGTCGATCGCTCCCTCATTCTAGGCTGGATCGATTGCACTCCCTCGATTCACTTGCTCGATTGGATATGGATCGAGCAGGAGATCAATTCACGGAGTCGTTCTATGAACTGATCGGGTTGCCTCGGTGAATTATCTTATCGATCTTCTTCCTGGATCGAGTAACTTGGTCCATCTCTGGGTCGATCTCTAGGCACTCGCCTTCATCTTCTTTCACAACCTTGCGAGACTCAAGGATGTGTACATATTCCTGGGTCTGTTCACTCAGGAAACCATACTCTCCACACTCCTTTGTCAAAGCCAGCTGAAGGTGATCCTCTTGTGCCAACTCCTCAAGCAACTCATCAGCCAACGCATCCAAAGTTTCAATGTAGAATGCTTGTCCTTCAATGGTTGGCTTCTTCAAGACTTCATTGATGTCAAAGTTCAGCTTGATATCTTTACCCAAGTGCAGAGAGATCTTGCCATTCTTGACGTCTATGATGGCTCCAGCAGTTGCTAGGAACGGTCTACCAAGGATAAGAGGGTCCTTTGGTTCTTCATCCATTTCTAGCACCACAAAATCTGTTGGCACATTCACATTGCTTATCCTCACAGGTAAATCTTCAAGCAAGCCTACAGGGAGCCTTATACTTCTATCAGCCCGAATGAGAGAGATTCTACACACCTTAGACTTGGTAAAGCCTAGCTATTTTCCAATGGAATGGGGCATAAGTTTAATGCTTGCACCAAGATCACATAAGCAGCTTTCAAACTTCAAAGGACCTAGTGCACAAGGGATAGTGAATGACCCTAGATCTCCTAGCTTCATTAGTTCTATCTCCTTGTGAATGATTGCACTGCATTCTTGAATCAACACCAAGACTTCGTCACTCTCTTTATCCCTTGTATTTACACCATTTAGGGCTGCATTTAGTATATATTTTGGTCCTCTTTTGCATGTTTTCCCTTAGCTTTTGTCCCGTTTTCTTCTACTTTTAGACTTAGGTTGCATTTAGAGTATAGTTTGCATTTTCTTTGCATTTTGGATGTTTTTAGGTGCTTTTGGAGCTAAAAGGAGCTTAGAGGAGTTTTGGGGGCGATCCAGGATGCTAGCTGGGCAAAAGGGAACAACAAGGATCGAAGCAGAGAATCTCTGCAGAAGTTTTCGGTCAGAGCACAGTGAATATCGGTCAAGGATGACCGATATGGAGCAGTATCGATCACCAGTAACGGTCAAGGGTGACCGACACAAACACAACGGATGGATTTCGGTCATATGTGTCGATCACTCCAGACCGATGGGGATCTATATCGGTCACTGAAGACCGACGTAACTGACCGATACTGACCCAGCCCGAACCTGTTTTTAATTACGCTTTTGCCATTACTCTAGGGTTTTCTTCTCTTGGCTATAAATAGGCTTTTTTTCCAGATTTTCGACAGGTCTTGTAAAAATACTGTTTTTAAGCATTTTCTTTAAGTTTGTAAGACAAATCCTTTGCTTTGTTTAATATATTTGAGTATTTGCTTTAATCTTTCTTTATTCTCTCTCTTAATCATGATTAACATCCTTTCCTTTTGTGATTTGGTGTTAAACTTGAGTATGAGTGAGTAGTTAACTTAAAGTTTCTAGATGTGGTAGATTAGGGGAATTTAAGACTTGATTAGGGCTTGTTAAGTGCTTCAGTTTATGGGTTCCTCTCATTAATCTGTTATTCATGCTAGATTAGTCTTGATCAAACTTATCTAAGTTGTTAGCTTTCTCGTATGCCCACCAAGTGTTTGATGAAATGTTGATCTTGTTTAATAGAGGATTTGCTGGCCTTGGCTCAAGAGATTGACTGTTTGAGGAGCATTTTGACTTGAATAGAGTTGTTTACTAATGCTTGCTTGATGTTTTAGCACTAATCAGAGTTAGTTCTTGTTAAGATGTTTTGCAAAGGGCTATTTGCCAAGAGATTGGATCTAGCTTGCTTGATTGTGAACTCTATGTCTAGGAATCACCATTGCTTGCTTACTTGCTTGATCAATGTAGTTTGAAACAGCCCTAGTTAGTGTCTGAAATTCCCCAAAGTCAATAACCACATCTGGGAACTTGCCTTTCTCTTATTTGAATCTCGGATTTGCTCTGTTTTGCTCTGTTTTTCTTGCTTAAAACTGCTTAGTTTGCTTTTGTTTTCACTTTCTTTGATGATTGATCACCTTAGGTTGTTAGAATTGTTGCTTAGGCAACAAAATCCTTTTCCTGCTTGCTTGACTTAGAGATTTCACTCTTAGCTCTTCTGCTTGCAACGATTCCCAATTGGATTGACATTGACCACTCTCAATAGATGCTGCCCAGTATGAAAAGGTGATAAGTAGAACTAGGGGAAGAATCTTCTTTGGCTCGGTAATGGAATCAAAAGTTTGCCCGAACAGGGATATAGGAAGAAGCCAATAGGCTACAGGGTTGCCAGCAGACTTGCTTGACCTATTGCAATGCCAGTATAAACTTCTGGCACATGGTCGGCTAGCTAAAGATCAGTTTCGGTTCTAGGCAAAGATCCGCCAATAGCAGTGACTTTCCCAGTTCCCATTCTTTATTGTCCAGTCATCCTTGATAAACAGCTGTTGGTACAACTGTCATCGGTAAAGGGGCTTGTTGCCTCCGAGGAACGCCGAGGAACGCCTGTATATGACCTGTGCCTAAAGCACATTGCCAATAAACTGTTCTAGAGCGAGCAATATCCACACACTCCCATAGAAGGCCAAACTTAAAGACCTGTTGGTCGAAAGTCGAACGCTTCCAAGAGTGGGCACATATCTCAATCTCAAATAACTTTGAAAGAGAAGGATCTCCATCAATTCAAAGAAGGTAGTATGAACGGATGTGCTGTAACCAGGATTCCACCCAGTTACGATAGAAAGTATACTCATTCATAGCTGCCTCCCCTTCAAAGACGGACATCCCGAGGAGGCAATTGAAGTCGTTTAGGCTTCAATTTTCTCTTCAGCATCTCAACTAGAATTCCCTTTATGTATGGAGAGAGGGGACTTTGTCTCCAGCAATCCACCACTCTAAAGGTAGTTGAGACGATGACGGGGGTTTAGAATATATTGTCCTCAATCTAGTCCATTTCTTGGACACACTTGATTGAAGGTTTGCCCTCACCCGGAAACTAGCACCTGAAAGGCGCGCCACAGTATTCAAAGAACAATTGTAACGCACTCCTAGTGCACAGATTCCAAGTGAAGACCGAAGAGTTAATAGTGCCTTTAAAGAGATTGGAGACAAATCCTTTTGAAGCGATTCGCTTATACGGAGCATGACCCATACTAAGAGAGGGGAGGGAACGTGGTAAGGTCCAAGTAATCTCGTATGATTTCTTAGCTATAGTAAGCATTTCAATTCAAAGAAGGAATCACTAAGCACATATTTCTTCTAAAGTTCTCAGGGGTTTCTCTCACAGCTAAACATTCTGGCTTTGTTGTAAGTGCTTTTCCGAAGGAATCACTAAGCTCATCTTTCTGTGCTGATTCCCAAAGAGATCTATTTCTTAGGGAACAACAACTGAAACTTATGTCTACAAGAAACCTTGTGTGCTTGCTGAACTCATTAACTTGCTTAGTTCAGGAAGATAGACTTCCATTAACTTGTTTTGTTACCTCTCTTGGAAGACTTCCATCTTAAACGTCAGAAGTGTCTCGCCAGTTCCCGTTGACAACTCTTCCTTCTGATCCCAAGGAATGCGCGTCTGGTTGTATCATCGTATGTAAAATTACGGCTGCATTTAGGATGAACTCCAGTTCTCGGCATTAAGACCGACAAAGAGCCTATTGGACCTAGAAAGAAAGTCGTAGAAGGGGTGTAGCGGGCAACTATGGGTTCTCGAGGCTATTCCTAGTGTAAGTTTATTAATAAGAAAGTCAGTCTTCAACTATAGTCTTCATGGTGGTACCAGTGAGTATATATATAGATGGGGCCTTCGGCTCCCACCCTTGATTTTCCATCCAATCTTCCTATCTTCTTTTTCCTGCTTTGGAAGCATTCGATCTCTGCTTCGCCCTCGTCAGAGAAAGGGGGCGGGAAGCCTGCATGCGATTCCTGGGTAGGATATCCCTGGCTCTCTTCTCTATGAGTCCCCGCTAGCTTTCAAGTGTTTATTCAATCTCCCTCCCAACGCAAGGATATCGTTTGATGCACTTGGCTTAGGTTTCAGTTAATAATAATTTATATTATATATAAAACGCTTCTCGCTGAACACTCAGGTGGGGCGCTTGCTCTCCTCTTGGCAGCCTTCTTCAAGTAGGCTTCTTTCTTCGTTAACGCTTAGGAATTCCTAGAAACTGAGAAACTAAGTTGAAATCTATTTCTAGCATTTTTATAGCTATATATTTCGTAACTGATGAGAGATTAATTGATCAATACATCAGATCCTAGGTCGGGAATGACGGGGCTCGAACCCGCAGCTTTTGCCTTGACATGGCGGTGCTATGACAGATTGAACTATAATCCCGGCTATACTGAACACTAACATACTCGAGCCCACGTTGCGAGAAGAACCCCAGTTACTCGACTGAAAAAGACAAGTTGTGAACACAAACTCGACTGAAAGGCGTTCATCGGCTTTCAGCCTTCCATTGCAGTTTCATGAGTCAACCATCACTCATACGAAATTGAGATTGCCGAGTCAACCTTCTTCTTTCAGGCTTTGAATGGTCTCCTGATGGAAAAGAAAAGGTCTTGTAGGTTTCAATTTTTCATTGAAGTAATCCTTGCATTCAGCTGCTGATTGATTCCAGTTAGTGCTTCAGATTGTCTTGGGGCCTCTTTGAGATTATAATCACCTTTACTTCTGCCAATAAGAAAAACGAATCAAAGCTATGGTTGAGAGTTCCAAGTTCTTTCCAGATTACATTCTAGCTAGGATTTGGCTTAATCAGTCGTAGAATTCCTTCTCCCCCCGGCCTCTACTCCTTAAATCATATTTCAGTGCGTCCACGGAAAAGGAAATAGCAATGTATCTTTCTCAGCAGGGCTAGCTTGGAGTGGTTTTGAACCCTTTAAACACCACAACCTTTTTAAGAAGTGGGATAATTTTCATTCCACTAAGCTTTGTCCCTTAGCCAAATGACACTTTCGCCTTTGCAAAAGCATGATTCACGGTTTGAGCATAATTGAATGTAAAAAAGGTTGATTGATTTGATGAGCATGTGTAGGTTGATAGCTTAGTGATCATTCTTGTTTTATGATGAAAGTGGCTAAGTTTTTTAAGTATTCTTCCATCAAGTGCACTCTAGAATTAGGAACATGGACTTCATTTTTATTTATTGTTAGCATTTTCAAAGATATGAGTTCCCATTGAAAACCTCATAACCATGTTAAGTGTTTGTTTGGGGGGGGGGGGGGGGGGGGGGTTGATAGCTTGGTATTTTAGATCATTTTAGGCTGCATTTCATGCATCTTTTCCTCTGTTTTTGTATTATAGTTTAGCATTTGGGTATCATTTGCACTTAGAATCAACATAGCATGCATTTAGCTTAGGATTGCATACATTTGCATACATGTGCATGTATGTGGTGGTTTTAAGGTGTTTTTGGAGTTTCTTGGAGCTGGGGAAGGAATGGAAGCAGCTCATGATCAAAGGAGACACCAGAAATGGAGTTCTTGCAAAGTCTGGTCCATATCGAGGTCGCATATCGAGCAGAACACCCGTGGAGTATGCTCGATGCAAGCAGCAGGACGAGAGGAGAAGGATCAGCACGAGGATTTCAAGCCGTTGGTCTGCATCGAGGACCAGCATCAAGGAAGGACGTTGATACACGCTGCACGGGCCATATCAAGGTCGCATATCGAGCAGAATATCGACCGTACGACCTCGATACAACTCATCTGCATTGACCATTTAAGTTTTGTAAACCTTATCTTATATTTTTAGGTTTTTTATGCTTCTTTTGGCTCCCTACTATAAAAGGGAAGCCACAAAACATTATCTTTATCATGTTCAATCTTATCCAAGTTTAGCTTTCTATCAAAAAACCTTAAAGGGCGATTTGCCTTAAGGATCTTTATCTTTAATAAAGTTTGCATCTTTATGGTTTAATCTTGTCTTCTGATCTTTGTTCTTGCACCTTGGTAGTTTAGTTTTATCATCTTTGTATTTTAACTCATCTAGTTATGTTTAACTCCAAATCAATGGGATTAAATATGATTAGTGAGTAGTCTTCCTTAGATTTAGGGTTCTAAGTAGGGAAAGTGGTGATTAAGATACGATTAAGGGGTGATTAGGCTTGTTTAATGGTTCTCTGTTATCTCCTTCTCTTGCAAAGTGATTAATGTTAATAAAGCTTGCTCTTTTTGATTGAATATGGTTTGATAGATGCATATGGTTCACTTGATGTCTTGATATTTCTTCTCTAAGTACAGTTTGCTTATTTGGCTTGATAGTCTAGCTTGGTCTATGTTTCCTTTGTTCAGTGACACCAAAATGATAGTTCACCCTGCTAGATGATTCACTTAGGGCTTGATAATGCTGGTTTTGAGATTCTTGACTTGATGGTTAGATAGTATGCATCAAAAGATCTTGCTTTTGCTTCATTATTGTTCATTGATTAGCTTTGTTAGGGTGTTGCAAGTTTGTGCTTAAATCCATAATCTTGATTGGTGTATAGCTTCTTAGGTCCTTATAGGTTCACATGTTTGATAAGTTGATCTGAATTCTTGCTTGGGTGAGAGAGTAGTTGCTTGATTGGTGCATCTCTTAGGCTAGAATGGTCTGATCTTTATGCTCATGGTTGAAGGATACGCCATCACAAGTGGGTCTGACACTTCAATCTTATTGAATATGAATTGGTTATTGACACCAAGTGGTTCCCTTTAGATACCTTGTCTAGAAGCATAACATTGAGAATTGCTTGCTTGTTAATGCTTGTTGAGTACCTTAGTAGAAATCCCCTTGTCACTCTTGACAACCACAATCCCACAATTGCTCAGAACCTTGAATCTTGCTTTTAATTAATTGTCTTCAAAGTCATCTTGCTTAGTTCTTGCTTTAGTAGTCATTTATTGCTTAAATGCCTGTTTAGTCATTGCTTTATGTTCATTGTTTGGTTCTGTTCACTTGCATTTAGTTTATGCTTTTCTTTCATTGCACCATTAGGTTGTTAGACTTGTTCTCACATAATCAAACCCCAATCTTTCTTAGCTTACAGTATTGTTTGCATCTCATCTCCCACAATTGGATTGGTACCTGATCTCTATTCTACAACTGATTAGAGGCAAAGAGAATAAAATCTAGTGACCAAAAACAAGCTGTTTCAGCTAAGCAACTTCTTAAGATACTCTAACTTCTAAATTTATGCAAATGGGAAAAGAACAAGTTAAAAGTGCATGCTTAAAGACTAAAAATTAGTACTAAATGTATGCTAAATGGGTATAAATATAATTTATATCAACTCCCCTACACTTGCTTCTTTCTTGTCCTCAAGCAAACAAATACAAAGGAGAGAAAAAGAGTTGAAAATGGGAGCTCAAAAATAATGATGTCAATGGAAAAATTGATTCAATGCCCAAGTTATAAGTTCTAAGATACATAGAGATTGATCTAATTCAAAAGCTTTAGCCATACTCATCATAACAAACAATGAACTCAAGCTTAGCCTACACAAGCACTCAAATCAACCAATTATTTAACATTCATTAATAATAACCAATGGATCAAGTTTTTGGAAATCAAGTGAGAACATTTGGTTTAAGGAACATGGTTAAAAGATGTAAATGATCTCATGCAACAAAGGCTCAAACAATCAAAGGGATCACTGAATGAAATTATTCTATCTTAAGCAAAATGCTAAAGGTAAAAGTACACTTATCCATGCAACTAAAATCTCTCTTCTACCCTTTTTACCCAAAGATAAATTTAATAACTCCTAAACCTTAAGTGAAACTCCTAATTCTACCCTTTCCTAATGCACTTGCCATCTTCTTCTTCTTGATATGTGGTGGAGACTCTTTCTTTTCTTGCTTGTGTGGTTGACTTCTTTTTGAAACTTTCTCTTCTTTGTTGTGTGAGCGCCATTTTCATCACCTTTGGTGATTTGCTTGGTCTGTATTCTCCTTTTGGGATTACCTTTATAAGCTTTGCTGTTGTTAGCCCCTTCTCTTGTTTAGGACTTAGAGTTTTCTTTCTTATTACTTAACCACAGAAGCTGACTATCTTCTCCACACTTCTTCTCTTAAAAGATGTAAACAATAAAAGATCAAACCACTTAACACTACCCTTTTCCAATCTCTTATCCGAGTACCAAACTCAAAATGCAAGCTGGTGTCTACAAGAGAGCTTCTCCTTGCCAGCTTTATTCCTAACACTTTTTGCCAAGATAAAAGCAAAAATGATGCAATGCAAGGCCTCACAGCTCTCACAATAGTGTTTAGGTTCAGAAGGAAGGATTTGTTTAAGGTGTGGATAATGGTGCCATAATGATGATGATCAGCTACTTGGATTAACAAGAGTGGTAAGAAGGGAAGATGATATTCCAAGTATGTATATGGGTAGCCATGTAGACACTCTCAATGCACAAGCAAGATAATTCAAATTCAGATTAAGGTTCTAATAAGATAGAGTTGGAATCAAATCACAGCAAGCATGAGTATAAGTCAAGAGTATTAATGCAAGAATTCAAAGCATGGTGCAGCATTAACTTCAAATTCACTACTATGCTTTCAAACAACAAATAACCAAGGTATTGAAAACAA